GCTCTGCGTTACTTCCAAGTAAACTAAAAGCTCTATGGGATGGAACTCAAGATCTTGCACAATACGTCTTCAGCCTACTTCTAAAGCATTATCTTATGTGTCTGAATTCTGTGCTGCTTTTAAGTTGAACTCATTGCCTCATCAGAACCCAAGTACTTTCTTACTTCAACACTTTTATTCATGTATTTCTTTCTAATTAGAATGCCTTCACCAGTTTTCCAACCTATCCAAATCCTCAACACCCATCACGGGTCAGCTCCGAAGCTTGCTCCTCCTTGAGCTGACTTGAATAGATCCTGTTACATCTGGTAGATCTATCACTTACCACCTTCTCCTTCGGACCTATCTAGTATTCTCTGAATGTGTCACTTATGGGTGTCATCACATGGTGACTTCTAGTGTTCTAATAGTATACATGTACATTTCCCCTAGTACACTGAAATCTCTTTGAAAGTGGGGAACAGGTCTTGTTATTTTCTTGTCTGAGTCATTGATTTATGTAGAACCTTGCATATAGAGTGTAATATAGAGCACTACATGTCATGACTTGGTGTTCAACACTTAATTTATTGAACAACTAACTGAATACATAAACTTTAGTCTTTCATTTGTTCTTTAGTTCATTCATTCATGTTTTAAAGTAATATCCTGAAAGCAGGCTTGATTCACAAGCAAAATATCCTGTAGTGTTCTTTGTATTCATTGTGTTCTTTGCTCTCACCCAGAGTATTTCTTAGCATTTTTTATATTAAGGGCAGAAATGAAAGGTTAAGAGTTAGAAGCACATTTGATCTTTTCCTGAACCCCTCCTGACTTTTGTGTGACTTCAAGCATGTCACTTGAACCTCTTAGTGACCTCAGCTGTGAAACCAGGCTGTCTAGTGTCATAGAGGGATTGCGAAGAGCAGCAAATCACAGTCCTTGTCTAAACGGAATCACCTGCAGGGCTCATTGATGCCTGCATAGAACGATGAGGGAAATTTAATTTCCCAAGTCAAATGATCATTTTCACCCATACTTTCAATGTCGTGTGGGATCAATTAGATGAGAGTCCTTGAAAATCTGTTACTTTCCTCTTCCTACTCAAAATATTTCTAATTTTTGTGCTTGTAAATGTTCTTATTTTTTAGACTTTTTTGCCCAAAAGTTATTGCAGTGTCTAAGCATATTAGTATTTACCACTTCAGACTTCAAAGGTGGAAAATACCACTTCAGATATTATAAAAAGCAAGTTGAATTTTGGGAAGAATACAAGTACCCTGAATTTTTCATTTATATCACTGAATTTAGGGAAAAAAAAAATTGCCTCAAAGAGAGTACTTTGAAAATGTTCCTAGTGCTATTTTAAAGATAACTATTTGATGACTGTATCTAAATACATGTTTCTAACTAGCTTTTGGGGGTTGACAGTGGTGGGAGAAATGTAGTTAAGCAAGACGATTGCAAACAAGTAGAGCAGAAAACAAATAAAAATACTCTTAGCCATTTTGCAAATAGAACCTTTTAATACTGTTAATGTAGTCTGTAAAATCTTTGAAAGAGTAGAGCTTAAAAGTCTCCCTTGTACTATATATTTTCTAATTGGGAAAAACCCACCGTACAGGAAATTTAGCCTTGTATGTAGCACATGCTGATTATCATTCTTTGACTGCTTTGGGTTTCTGCGGCTTTTAAAGTAGCATTTAAATGGACCATTTGATTAATCATTTGTATACTGACTGTAATCCTCCCAAATTTCCTTTCTGAGTTGTACATACTGTAAAAGACAATTATGTCGCCACAGATTAAATAAGCGAATTAAAACAGAATAGCGACTTAATTTGACCTGTGATTTTGCTCTCCTTCCCTTTAGTGGAGCGTGTGCCACTCCAGCAAATAAATGAAGTCATCCATGACAGCTTGTGATGAATTGCCGTATTTATACTGTATATTTTAATAGCCTCACACTAATTTAAATTGAGCACAGAGTAAATTATAATTCAGTCACTTGACTGCTTGTATTTAACTTGACAACTCATCCTTATTTGTCCTGGAGGTGTAGTGGAGAGCAGCGGAAATGCACTCAGGTATTTCAGTTTCTCACTTAACCCTTTCTCCAGGAAGTGCTTCATGTTCAAATTCTCTCCAGTTTGAAAAATTGAGCTCTTACTAAAGAGAAGAGGAAATAATCATGAGGACTCAGGAAGTTCATACTTTCCTTGTTCTTCCAAAAAAAATTTAGTATTTATCATGCTTTTTTCCCCAGTTTTCCCATTTTACGGTAGATTTTACTTTCCCTCTCAAGTTCCCAGAAATTACTTTATTCACTTTTTTACCAATATGGAATCACCACTATTCTGGACTAAAGCGAATTTCAAGAATGATCAAGACCTTTTTAGAGTGCAATGGATTGGTCCCACAAATATACTATTACTTGCTACAGTTTAGGCCAGTGTGGCAATTTTATTTATTTTGGTATTTATGTCTTTGATTTTAAGTTCATTTATAGAAATCAAACAATTCATTTCCTTCCTGTCTAGAAGTAGCTTCTTATTTAGAGAATTGCGGTTGTAAGGTGTGATAAAATTAAGTACCACATCACTCAGTGGGCACGGCTTGTTTAAGACCGTGTGCTGGGTTCTGGGTTTGGAGGGAGGGAACCCGAGAAAAATGCACAGGGCTTAGTTGTTGCCCTTCACAGGCTTACACCCAATGTACTCTCTAGGCTTCAGTTTTTAGGAGCCAAGGCATTAATGCAAAAGGCAGCATGTGATGGAAGAAAGATAGAGGGTCTGATGGAAGGCGTTAGGGCTGGCCTGATGGAGATGGTGGTGGCATTCAAGCTATGCTTAAAGCATAGAAAAGGTATTACGGCCAGTAACTATGGAATGGAGTGAGAAAGCACACCTCAAGTGGAGGGAATACCTGGACTAAAGACTGAAGGTAAGGGAAAGCACAGGACATGTGGATTGTAGCAGTCATCTGGTTTTACATGTAGATTGGATTTGTGGTAAGAAGTAGTGGGAGAAGGAACTGGAATAACAAATTGGAGGTAGATTGTGGAAAAATTGCTTGAATATCATGCTAGAATGTCAATTTTATTCCAGACTATGGAAGCCCAATTAAGATTATCTGTGAAAAGAATATGTTCTTGGCTGGTAGTTTTAGGTTAATTCCAAGATTTTGGTTAGCCGTGTGGAATCATGTTGTTTCTTGATTGGGGGCCTGGAGATGCAGTATATCTTTAGTAGTGATACTGCACACTGAATAAACAGCATTTTTTTGAAACTTTAAATAAGGAATTCTCAACCTTACTGTGGGCTACAAATCAACTGGCAAGTTTTTAAAAATGCAAAGATATGGGCCCAACCCCAGAGATTCTGATTCCCTTATTCTGGGTAAAGCCTGTGCATCATCAGGCTTTGTTTAAAGTGTTCTTATTGTATATGAATACCTTGATATAAAGGTAATTATAATGTGAAGCCAGGGTTGAGCACCATTGCTTTAAGGTAAATGATGCTTTTTTCCTTTTAGCAGAATTTTTCAGGCTGGAAGATTCCCTGTACTTGACATAGACGGTCAACATTAGCTCTAATATTATATGGTATAGAATTGAAACAATACTAGATGAATTAATTTTGTTGCTAAATTTTATACAGGAGCAAAAATGTAAGTGAATATTGTAACAAATGACTGTTGATTGGGAGAAATGTTTAAATGTTTTCTTGGCAGTTTTGCCTTACACTTACAATCTAGTTTAGTGAGAGCTTTTATAAATAACCCTAGAGCAAACTCTTGATAGAAACTGCTGTGCCTTCTTGTACTCATTCTACCCTCCCCAGTGGATGTCAGTACTAGAAAATTTGTGTTTTTAGAGATTATCCTTTTCTTTCCTTGCTCTGTCATCAGTTTACAACTGAAAATTTATGTTTTTTCCTCCAGTATGATTATATATATGTGTGTGTGTGTGTTTATATATATTCTGCAATTGTAATACAAAATGTAGATCAGTGTTGGCTGGTGTATAATTACTGTCCTTGTTAATCCTGAATAAGTTTTTATCTAGAAATGTCTGGAATCAAAAACTCTGCCGCAAATCTTTAAAACTATTCTCTAGTTATTTTATTACCGTCACTGTTCTTTTTAAGTAAAAAACAATTCCCTTTGAATTGACTTCACAGTAAATGCTAAGTAAAATTTGAATGGTTGATGGGCTTCTTTCTTAAAGTAAGTGTTCAAAATAAAGTAGAATTTGTTTTAGGTACGTTTATAAATTATTGTACATTTCTGTGTTATGAATTTGACTCAGTGGTTGATATTTTAAGGGTGACCATAAAGCCTTGGAATGTACTGGGAAGTGTGTGGTCCTTGGAATCAGGGAGAGGCCCTGATGTTGCCGGGCCTCGTGACTTCTCAGAGCTTTGGTTTCTTCCTCTTTAGAAAGAAAGGAATTAGGTGAAATAATTTCTGAGGTTCCTTCAAGCTCAATTTAATAACAGTTGTGGCAAAGAAAGATTACCCAATTGGAAGAGTATAAAAACCTGATATATTTTTAAAAACTCCTTATTTCTCTCATAACTAAAAATCTACTTTAAATGTTGTTTTTACTTATCATTCTCTTCTGCTTTGCCCAGTGTCTGAATTACAAGACAATTAATTTTTAATGGTTTCAGGGTCACTTCGGTCTTCCTTGTCTCAAAATAACCAATGTGGCCAAAATAGGGTGTGTAAATTAAGGGTGTTATAACGTAACTGACTTTTGAAGCCATTAATACTGACCTTTGAGACCTGGCTTTTTCCTTGATCCCATCAATCACTTCTGTACCACCTCCCCCAATACAAAGTGTTAGACAGATGTGGACACAGTTTGTATTACCAGAGGTTATGGTGGTGGAGAGGAGAAAGGTGGAATGAATAGAGGAAACACCATATTTTTTAGTTTTTATATTTCATAGTGAATATGACTAGATTTAATTTAAAGGTGAATAAATGTGTGAATATTGATTCCTTTATATGTTCAGGTCATACTACTAGATATTACACTGGAACTGCAGAAGCAAATTATGTCTGAATTGGAAATTCTTTATAAGGTAATTTTTTTCTTGTTTTTTTTTCCTTATAAAGTATGCCTATGGTATTGGCTTGCAGGCTCTTAACTGCTTTTGTCTTATTTTTGTTACAGTGTGATTCATCATATATCATAGGGTTTTATGGTGCATTTTTCGTGGAGAACAGGATTTCAATATGTACTGAATTTATGGATGGTGAGTTTTCCCTTTTATAATACTTTAAAAGTGATTTTGAGAGTAGAATACTTTAAAACCTGATGTTGATACAGGTATCAAGTAGAATTAAAAATAAAATATACTAATAAGTACCTCCTTTATGCTCTAAAACATCTTAATGTTAAGGGTTCCTAGTGTTAAATATTTATAGTTGAGCTATAATTTCAAGAATGTAGTTTCATTTACTTTTATTGAAAATTTAAATAGAACAGATTAAATGCTAGTCTAATCGGTGGTTTGATATTTGATTCTTCTATACAATCTGTCTTCACTCGTGAAACAGATGTTCTGTTCTTTTAATGTTTCAATAGCCAAAACAGATTTTCTTTTAGAGAAATCTATTAACCCAATGTCCTATGTCTTTTAGAAAGAAATCGGTTCTTAATTGCAAGATAAGAAATCGTTTTCTAGCACAGCTGTTTAGCCAAGATGTGTTTAGTTTTCTTTGGACTCTAGCCCTCTCCTTCCTTCTTTTATTTTTTATTCATTTCTACTTTGGTAAATCTTTTTGATCTGAATATTATGGCAAAAATGCAGATTTCTTGGTTCCCTGTCAGTGAAATGATGTCGCCATTGTTATTGTTTACCCATTTGAAATCAGAGCAGTCTTTACGTTTCACATATTCAATTTTTTAATGTCCAGCTCATTAAAACTCAACACTTGGAGTTGCCTGGTGGTTAGGACTCAGAGCTTTCACTGCTGTGACCTGGGTTCAGTCCCTGGTCGGGGAACTCAGATCCCTCAGGCCAAGGGCTGCAGCCAAGTGTGTATATATATAGTTCATTTGGGGTATTCTCAGTATATTAATAATACAATTAGTTCATTCCATGTAAGACTTTTAAATGAGCCCACTTTGATACCTTGATATTATAAGAATGTGTTCTAAATTTGTTACAGTAGATGTCAAGAATTAAAAGTCTTACAAACATATTAGTATGACAGTTACTCTTTAAGGAGACCAACTAGAAAAAGGGAATTCACAGAGCCAGTGAGTGTGTGCATGCTCAGTTACTCTGTTGATTCTGACCATTGCAACCCCATGAACTATATGTAGCCTGCCAGGCTCCTCTGTCCATGGAATTTTCCAGGCAAGAATACTGGAGCAGATTGCCATTTCCTCTTTCAGGGGCTCTTCCTGACCCAGGGATCAAACCCGCATCTCCTGCATCTCCTTGCATTGGCATGTGGGTTCTTTACCACTGAACCACCTGGGGAGCCCTTCATAGAGCCAGTACATGTCATTGTTTTATGGCTTTTTGTCATCCTTTTTTGAATCTTCAATTTGTGTTAACATTAAAAAATTTATTTATTAAGATGGTATGTTTAAATACCATAAAATTCATCCTTCTAAATGAAGGATATGCATTTGTGCAGTTCAGTGGTCTTTAGTATATTCACAGGATTGTATAACCATTACCACTAATTCCAAAACGTTTTTATCACCCCAGAAATAAACTCCCTACCCATTAGTAGTCACTTCCTATATTCTCTTCCCTCTAGTCCCTAGCAACCATTAATCTACTTTCTATCTCTATGAATTTCCCTATCTTGGACATTTCAGATAAGTGAAATCATACAGTATGTGGCCTTTGTGTCTGGCTGCTTTCACTTAGCATAATGTTCTCAAGGTTCACCCATGTTTTAGCATTTATCAGTACTTCATTCCTTTTTTGCAACTGCATAATGGTCCGTTGTGTGGATGTACCATATTTTGTTTATTCTTTCATCCATGATGGGCACTGATGCTCCATAGAGGGGAGGCTTTCAGTCTTTCATCATCAAGTATGATTTAGCTGTGGGATTTTGGTAGGTGTTATTTATCAAGTTGTGGAAGTCCCCTTTTCTTCCAAGTTTGTTGGATATTTTTAATCATAAATCGGCATTAGATTTTGCCAAGTGCTTTTTCTATTGAAGTGATCATGTGTTTTTTTGTCCTTTATTCTATAGTTGTAGTGTATTAATAGATTTTTACATATTGAACCAATCTTGCATAGTCCATTTTATATGTTGCTGGATTAGTTTACTAGTATTTTGCTGAGGATTTTTATATTCATATTTTTAAGTGATATTGATTTGTAGTTTTTCTTGTAATGTCACTGTGTGAGTTTGATACCCAGATATTTCTGTCCTCAAAAAATGAGTGTACAGTGTTCTGTCCTCTTCCATTTTTTGGAAGAGTTTTCTAGAAAGATTGATGTTAATTTTTCTTAAAACATTTGGTGTAATCCACTGGTGAAGCCATCTGGTCCCGTGGTTTTGTTTGTGAGTAGTTCTTATGGTCAGGTGGCATCTGTTGTCTGTCATTAGGAGAAGACCAGTACTTCTGCCCATTGCATCTTGGTACTGGAGCTGCCAAGAAAAACACAATCCAGGCAAGCACTGGACTGAACAATTCTTCAGTCACATAATAAAATGAGAGACAGCAAGATCAGCTTCAATAGTGGGTGTCAGTTCCCCATGGCCAGCCGCAGGTCCCTCCTGGCAGTCTGTGGAGGGCAGTTAGCCTGCACATACCCATCTATGTTGCAGCAAAAGTAGCCCCCACTCCACCTCACTCCCTTGGAGTCAGAAATGCTAAAAATTGAAGGTATGCCTAAGGTCCATTGAGGCACATGCTTAAACAGGACAAAGAAGTACATATTGAGCCTAAAACAGGGAAATACAAAGTCCGAAACAAGGAGATAGACCCAGCACAAGCTATATGGCCTCTTTATCTCTTGGTAAGCAACTGTTCTAGCCCCACGGCCCATTGTTCTGTGGCCAAGTAGGATTTGCAAGACTGTGGGCATAAGACTGTCTTTTCCAAAAGGTTGTTTTTTTTTTTAATTGTGGTATAATACGTATATAATTTACCACATTGCTGCTGCTGCTAAGTCACTTTAGTCGTGTTTGACTCTGTGTGACCCCATAGACGGCAGCCCACCAGGCTCCTCTGTCCCTGTGACTCCAGGCAAGAATACTGGAGTGGGTTGCCATTTCCTTCTCCATTGCATGCGTGCATGCTAAGTCACTTCAGTTGTGTCTGACTCTGTGTGACCCCATGGACAGCAGCCCACCAGGCTCCTCTGTCCACTGGATTCTCCAGGCAAGAATACTGGAGTGGGTTGCCTTCTCCAGTGTAATTTACCATATTAGCCATTTTAAAGTGTGTAGTTCAGCAGCATTAAGTATATTCACATTACTGTGCAACCACTGCCACTATACATCTCTAGAGCTCCTTTCCTTTTGCAGAATTACCCAGGAATACCCAGGAAAGCACAACGCTCTACGTCCTGTTCCCAGCCCCTGGCAGCAAACATTCTACATCTGTCTCTGTGAATTGGGCTACTCTGGATACCTCATCTAAGTGGAATCTCACAGTATTTGTCTTTTGGGGACTGGCTTATTTCACTTTTCATGATGTCCTCAAGATTCACCCAAGTTGGGACATATGTCAAAATTTGCTTCGGGTAATACTGAATAGTATTGTGATGTAGTTTTTAAAATTACCAACCAATATCTTTACTAGTTATAGGTTTATTCAGCATTTCTATTTCTTCCTGAGGCTGTTTTGGTAGTTTGTGGCTTTCTGAAAGTTTGTTTATTTTATCTAGATTATCCAATTTGTTGGTAAACAATTACTATTCCTTTATAATCATTTTTATATCTGTAAAGTCAGTATTAATGTTCTCTCTTTCATTCCAGGTTTTAGTAATTTGAATCATATTCCTTTTTTCTTCAGGGTAGCTAAAAGTTGGTCAGTTTCTTTGTCTTTTTCAAAGAACAAACTCTTGATTTTTGATTTCTTTGATTTTCTCTATTGTTTTTCTATTGTCATTTACCTCTGGTCTAGTATTTACTCATTTTTTTTCTGGTAGCACTGTTTTTAGTTTGCTCTTCTTTTTCTGTATTTTTAAGCTGTTGAGGTTAGGATGTTGATTTAAAATCTTTCTTATTTAATGTAGGTGTTTACAGCTATACATTTCCCTCTAAGCACTGCTTTAGCTGCACTCTAGAAGTTTTGATATGTTGGTTTTGTTTTTTTCATTTTCTTTTACATCAAAGTATTTTCTGATTCCCCACAAACATAATCCCTTGTGATTTCTTTCTTAGGGGTGTGTCATTTTCCACATTGAATTTGTCCTTCTGTTGTTGATTTCCAATATTCCGTTGAGGTCAGAGAACATACTTTGTGTGATTTCAGTCCTTTGAAACATACTGAGATTTGTTTTATGCTATAAAATATTGTCCTGGAGAATGTTCAGTGTGCACCTGAAAAATATATTCTGCTGTTGTTGGGTAGAGTGTTTTTCAGATGTCTGTCAGGACTAGTTGTTTTATGGTGTTAAGTATTTTATTTCCTTGTTAATCTTTAGTGCCGTTGTTCTATTGTTGAAAGTACGGGGTATTGAAGTGGGGTATTTTGTTGCCTGTTTCTCCCTTCAATTTTGTCAGTTTATGCATGAAATATTTTGGCATTCTGTTGTTAGATGCATATATGTTTTAATTGTTATATCATCTTGAAGGAGCGCCAACTGAACTCTGCCTGTGCAGTGACTATCGGGCAGCTGGTGTTTACTGTCATGGCAGGCTGCTGATTTTCAAGGCTGCACTGAAGGTGGAGAGCAAGCAGTGGGAATAGGGCAAATTAAAATGCCGCAAAGCTTGCTGTTCTTACCAAGATTCAAGCATAGTCCTGAACAAATAATTTTGGGGTTGCTACAGTCCTTTGGCTAATTTCCAGAGTTCTGAAAAGGTTGATTCTGACAAATTTTGTCCGTTCTTTCATTGCTTTTGTGGAGAAGGGAATTTTCAGAGGACGTTATTATACCCTGCCATTTTCAGTGTTACCACCTTTTAATACATTTTAATGCTTTAGATCCTTAGCGTAAAATATTCACTTTGTAGCCTATATTTAATACTGTTTCTGAGACCCATCACTCTCTAGGCTCTAAAGCCCTTCTCCTGCTGCTTTTGGCAACTCCCTTTACTCCGCACT